GCCGGGGAACCGCTCGGGGCTCTGCAGGCGGCTCAGCACCGCCTGGGCGTCCGCCAGGCCCCGGACCACGAGGCGGAGGCGCGCGCACGACTGCGGGGGGAGCCGGCGGCAGTTAGAGAGGCCGCGGCCCCGGCCCGCGCCGTCCCCCGCCGCCCGGCCCCCTCCTTCCCTCCCGCCCCGACGGCTCGGCCGCCTCACCCAGGGCCGCGGAGGATCCCTCCTCGGGCGGAAGGAGCAGTTGCGCGGCCTCCAGCTCAGCGTCTCCTCCTCCTGCGGGACAAGGGCCGGCGTGAGGCTGGGCCTCCTCGCCACGCCCCCGAAGCGCTGCGACGGCGGGGATTCCTGCACGTGGGACGCGCCTGGCCGCGACCGTGGTGCGCACTGTGCACAGAACCCCGCAGCTCTCCGAAGGCGCGAACGGTGGCAGAAGGCACCCCGCCGGCGCCTCGCCCGGACGTGGAACCGAGCCCGCCTGCAGGGGGCGCCCTGGGGGGGGGCGACTGGCACAGAGGCGGGGCCGGGGCTCAGCGCCCCCCCCCTCCCCTCGGCGGCCCGCAAGAGCTGGTGCTCAGGATTCTGCCGGAGATCCGAGCCGCCCTGCCGGGCGCTAGGGCGCAAGGGCCGTCGCAGACCGGGACCGGCGCCTGGGACCCGGCCGGCCCTCGGGCTCGGGGCGGGGGGGGGAGGTCTGGGCATCACTCACGTAGCGGTCCCTCAGCGCCTTGACGGCCGCCAGCGCCCTGGGGTCCAGCGAGCGGTAGTGTGACAGGAGGCAGCGCCGGGGCGTCGCCACGCCAGGGTCCGCCGCCTCGCCCGCCGTCAGCAAGACCCACAGCGCCACGGCCGCCGCGGCTGCGCCCCTCGGGCCCATCTCTGCTCCTGCAGAAGGCGCGGGACGGCAGGCGAGAGGCCCAGCCCCGGCCTCTGCAGGGCCTCGCACGGGCGCTGATGCTCGGAGCGCCGGCGGCTGGCGGCGGCGGCGGCGGGGGAGAGGAGGAGCCCGCAGACCCCCTCCGGCCGGCGGCGTCTGTGCGCTCCCTGCTCCCCTGCGGAGTGCCCTCGGTGCCTCCCTGGGGCGGCAGCGGGCCCTGCCTCCCGCTGGCCCCGGCGTGGTGCCCACCTCGGACAGCGGTGCCTGCGCCCTCCATGGCGGCTTTATGTGAGCGGCGGGGACCCGGGGAGCCACCGGGCTTTCCCTCGCGGTCCGGCTCAGCTTTCCGAACGTCAGCGCTGGCCGCGGGCCGGGTGGGATGCTCGCCAGCGGGTGAGGACTTTACCCGCGCGCGGGACCGTGCCAGCCATGACTCTGCCCCGAAATCTGCCCTCAGTTCTGGTCCCTGTTCCACTCTGTACCCTCTCTTCTTGTCGTCAGCCTCGGCGTCCTTATCTCCGGTCCATATATAATACAGAACTGTATCCAGTGGCTGTACAGCAACCAGCCATTGTATAGGGCTTACTGTGTTCTAGACCCTGTTTTAAGTAATCCATACACAGGTGTCACTTAAAAAAAAAAAGATTTTATTTATTTATTTGAGACAGAGAGCATGACTGGGGGGCAGAGGGAGAGGAAGAAGCAGACTCTCCGCTGAGCAGGGAGCCCGATGCGGGGCTCGATCCCAGGACCCTGGGATCACGACCTGAGCCAAAGGCAGACGCTTAACCGACTGAGCCACCCAGGTGCCCCAAGGTGTCACTTTTAATACCCAAAAAAGGGCTCTGCAAGGGATGCCCTATTATTAACTCCATTTTGTAGATGGGAAAAGTGAGGTACAGTAAAATGAAGGAACTTTTCCAAGGTAGGCAGTACCTGACGGAGGCTGAATTTGAACCTACACACTGTCCGGCCCCAAGGCTTTCTCTCTAAGCCATAATTGCTGCTACATATCTGATTCGGTCCTCTCTCTCCATCTCTGTTCATCTCTTTCCATTCCTTGTTCTCCCCTGTGTAGAGGCCTCCCGTGGCTCTTGTTCTTGTTTCTGTCTCTGATTTTGTCTCACTCCGTCTGTATCTCATTCCTTTTTCTAGCAATCATCCAGCCCAGGATCCCTCTGTCTGTCTCTGTCTGTCTCAATCTCCTTGTTTTAGTTTACAAATAAAATCTACTTCACCTTGCAACTACTGTCCAAAAAAAAAACAAAACACGACTTTTTCTGATAACATCAGCAATGCTGGTTCATGGAAAATACAGAAATGCGTAAAGGAGAAAAAATACCCATCGATAACTGCACCACCTACCTCTCTCCCCTCAGCCTGGCTCTGGAACCATGTTTCCAATGTGTAGAAATTTTATGCCTGTTTATTTGTGCATATGTTTCCTTTTTTTTTTTTTTTTAGATTTTATTTATTTATTTAAGTGAGAGTGAGAGAGAGCATGAGACGGGAGAGAGTCAGAGGGAGAAGCAGATTCCCCACTGAGCAGGGAGCCCGATGCGGGACTCGATCCTGGAACTCCATCCTGGGACTCGGGGATCATGACCTGAGCCAAAGGCCGTCACTCAACCAACTGAGCCACCCAGGCACTCCTGTGCATATGTTTCCTGATTACTAAAGTAACACATCCGAAGATTCAGTACAAAACATTGGACTTGGAGAGTTAAAGGAAGACTTTAATCCCACTTCCTGGAGGTAATTCTTTTAAACAATCAGTAGCAATTCCATGGACTATCTCCCTCCCCTCCACACACACCCTCTTCTTTTTCTTTCTAGGAATAATTTCTCCTAGACTGAAATCAGGCTGTATACAGTTTGGTAGCCTGCTTTTAATGTCTTACCATTCTCTCTCATTTGCATTTCTCCACATCTTTAATGATACTGTACCAGTTAGGGTCCCAGCAGGAAACAGATGGCCCAATCCATTTAGGATAATTTGAGGTGAGCTTAATACCGGGAGTATTTACAAAGGGTTTGGGTGGTGAAGGTAAAGGATGAGGGGCAGTGCAAGGCCTTGGGGCCCTGGATGGGGGAAGGTCTGTCCTCCTTACGTCCAGGGGGAAGGGAGAGGGGAGGGAGTGATTACTTGACCTGGGAAGGAAAATCTTGTTCCCAGGATGGACAAATACACAAATTGTCGTGACCCTGCAGGGAGGAAGCCTGGGGATTAAATATACTCTGACCTCTCAAAGAATAAATACTCTCCTTTCCTCTCCCTGGGCCTACTGTGAGGCCTCCAATTGGCTGCACCCAATGGAGGCCAAAGGCCAGCCTCCTGGGCTCCGGAGCAGGGGGGAAGCAGTCACTGGGAAGAGTGATGCTGCGGGGGGGGGGGGGGCGGGCAAAGGAAAACATCCCACATATACCACTATTAAGGCTTCCATTCTAATGGCATCATTTAGTAACCAATCCCCTCTTGGTGGGCATTGAGGTTACCTCCAGGTTTTTTTAAAGCCATTGTTCTCAAGGCTGGTGGAGAGGAAGGTAGCAATTTGTTCATTCTCTTAACAGCTGAAGTTTTTTTTTTTTTTTAAAGATTTTATTTATTTATTTGACAGATAGAGAGCACAAGTAGGCAGAGAGGCAGGCAGAGGGAGAGGGAGAAGCAGATTCCCCGCTGAGCAGGGAGCCCGACGCGGGGCTCGATCCCAGGACTCCAGGATCATGACCCGAGCCGAAGGCAGCCGCTTAACCGACTGAGCCACCCAGGCGCCCCACAGCTGAAGTTTTTAAGTTGAATAAAGTTTACCTCCTCGATTTTTTTCTTTTGTGGGTTGTACTTTCGGTGTATCTCAAAAGTCATCACCAATATCCAAGGTCCCCTAGATTTTCTCCTATGCTGTATTCTAGGAGTTTTATAGTTTTGCACTTTATATTGAGATCTATGATACATGGTGAGTTACATGGTGAGTTTTATCATACAAACAAGGGGCTTGAACTTATGACCCTGAGATCAAGAGCTGAGCTGAAATCAAGAGTTAGTCGCTTGGGGCGCCTGGGTGGCTCAGTCAGTTAAGGGTCTGCCTTCGGCTCAGGTCATGATCTCAGCGTCCTGGGATGGAACCCCAAGTTGGGCTCCCTGCTCAGCCGGAAGTTGGCTTCTCCCTCTGTCTCTGCCCCTCCCCCCACTCATGCACGTGCTCTCTCAAATAAATAAATAAAATAAAATAAAAAAGAGTTGGTTCCTTAACTGACTAAGCTACCTGGACGCCCCTGTTCATTGCTATTTTTTAAAGATTCGTTCATTTATTTGAGAGAGAGAGTTGGGGGAGGAGCAGAGGAAGAGAATCCTCAAGCAGGCTCCCCGCTGAGCACAGAGCCCAACCACGACCCTGAGATCATGGCTTGAGCTGAAACCAAGAGCCAGATGCTTAACCGAATGAGCCACCAGGGCGCCCCTGTTCATTACTTTTATACAAGAAAACCATAGACTTTATTATGTTAACTCGTGTCCTGCAACCTTGCTAAAATGATGTATTGGTTCAGAAATGTGTTTTTAATGCATAATATTAAATACACAGGACTATGAAGAAAACTCATTGTATTGAAACAGTTACCAAAACATAAAAGCAAGTTTGTAATAAGTAATGCGTATGCCTCTTTATCAATGCATTAAGTAATAAGATACTGCAATAGGTTTAACAACTACTATCCTTTTGAGGTAGTAATGAGAGTAAATGATATATCAAGACATGTGCCACATCTGTAATGGACCGTGAAAATATCTGTGATTTCTTTTAGCAACAAAGTCACAGTTTCTGCTATTACTATTGTGGTTTGTTGCTTACACTGATAATGGAAAGAAATGGTAACTTTCAGTTAGAGACCAGTGAAAATGAAAATGCATCTTTTTCTCATGCAAGTTCAGCCTCCCCTGGGTCCTACTGTGGGGGTGATCTGTGGATCCCAGGTTAAGGTAGACCTGCAGCCATTAAATAGAATGAAGCAGATCTATATGTATTGACATGGAAGAATCTTCACGACATACTAGAGAGTGAAAAAAAAGTACACTGCTGAACAATACACCTAGTGTGGAGCTACTTGTGTTCAGAAGTACTCACACGTGCAAAAGCAGTTCAGTGGAGAAAAATAGCCTTTTCCACCAACAGTGCTAGAGTAGTTGGACATGCACAAGCCAAAAAGTGAACCTTGATCTAAACTTCACACCTAAAAGAAAAAGTAACTCAAATGGATCACAGACTTAAATGTAAAATATGAAGCTATAAGACTTTTAGGGAAAAAAAATCACAAAGAACATCTTTGGGATCTAGAGCTTGGCAAAGAGTTTTTAGGCTTGGCACCAAAGGCTCAATCTGTAAGAGGACAATTCATCAACTGGACACGACTGAAAATTTTTCCTCTGCGAGAGACCATGTTAAGTGGACAGAAAGACGAGCTAAAGACTGGGAGGAAATATTTGCAAACCACCTATCTGATCAAGGACTTGTACCTAGAGTATACAAAGAACTCTGAAAACTCAACAGTAAAAACTTAAACAGTCCAGGGGTGCCTGGCTGGCTCAGTGGGAGGATCGTGCAACTCTTCATTTCGGGGTCATGAGTTTGAGCCCCATGTTGGGCGTAGAGATTACTTAAATAAATAAAACTTTAAGAAAAGTAAATAGTCCAAATGGGAAATGGGCAAAAGACGTGAAGAGACATTTCACCGAAGAGGATACACAGATGGGAAATAAGCACATGAAAAGATGTTCCACACCATTAGCCATTAGAAAGATGCAAATTAAAACCACAATGAGATCTCATTACACAGCTATCAGAATGGCTAAACCAAAAAATAATGACAACATCAAATGCTGGTGAGGATGGAGGAGAAATTGATTACCCATCATTGGTGTGAGTGCAGAAATGGTACAGCTACCCTGGGAAAAAAGGTTAGCAGTTTCTTAAAAAACTAGACATGCAAACGCCACATGACCTAGCAATTGTGTTCCTGGACGTTTATCCCGGAGAAATGGAGACTTATGTTCCCACAACATCCCCCATGTGAATGTTTATCGCAGTTTTATTTGTAACAGTCAAAAACCAGAAGCCATCCAGATGTCCTTTAACAGGTGATGGTTAAACAAACTGTAGTACATACGTACCACGGAATACCATTCAGCAAGAAAAAGGAACAAACTCTTGATACACAACTGTCTGTGTAAAGCTCCAGGGAATTATGCCAGGTGCAAAAAGCCTATCCCCAAAAGTTACACAC